TATATATATATATAGATATATATGTAATAAAATTTAGTGTCTTTATTATACGCAGTATCAATAATGCTGTAATATTCTTTAATTTATCAATGTTTTAGAGGGGAAGTACATTATGGGTGATATGAATAATTATTAGATTATTGAAAAATTTTCTAGTCAAGTGCACTCTAGCCTCGCTGCATAATGATAATTGATAACATATTATTTATAGAATTTAATTATAAATTTAAATTAAATTAAGATAAATACAAAAAAATAAAATAAATCTAATGTTCCGTGTGATTTTTCTCGGGATTTGTCAGGTTTGAGATGCAAATCTGGATTTAGAATATCCGATTGTGTGCCAGATTTACTCTATCGTTGCTCACGATCTCTTATTGTCTCTGACTTGATTTGATAAAGTTGAATTTTTAAATCGCATTTAATGTAAATCTAAGGGCCCGTTTGAGGCAGCTTATAAGTGTGGTGGCGTTTTTGAAAACGCCATCTAACTGTTTGGTCTGCTCGTTTTTGAAAACGCTGTCTGCCGCATTTGAGGTATCAACACTAAACGCAGGCCGCGAGCCGCATTTCAGGATAAACTGCTTATCCTGAGTTCTGCTTATCCTGAAACTCACAAGCTGCCACACACAAACCTTAAGGTGTGGCCAAACACCACCTAAAAACAAGCATATATATATATATATATATATAGATAGATAGAGAGAGAGAGAGAGAGAGAGAGAGAGAGAGAGAGAGAGAGAGAGAGATTTACTTGCATTGTACACAATCCTTATGTATTTACAAAACGAACAACTAAAATTTGATATCTACATCTATAACACTTTAGAGTCATATTTCCACACCTAAAAAGTAGTATTTAATTTTCAAAAGCTAGTAATGACAATTTTCTTACGTGATGTTAAAGATTTTAAAGCCATGCATGCAAATATGAAAGTTGTGGTCTTAGTTTACGTAAATACATAATACACAACAATTGTATGGTACGTACGTAAATGCCCCATAAATATTTATATATGTAATCATATAAGCCTATGACTCTAATACCTTTAGACAGTTTGAAAGGAGACCATGCCGGCAAAAGGCAGCATTCCAAAGAACTGATTCAGAACAAACGCCAGAGCTCAATGGACATGCAAAAGAGGGGCACACAAATGGCAGAAGGGAGGATTAAAAATGAAGCACAAGGGGATAATATATTATATGTTACAATAATGATATTTCTTCAATTAAAATGTTTTATTTATGTAACTTCACCATGAAGAATATAAGAATTGAGTGTTGGTTGATAATATTTAATATTTACATGAATGAAATTGGTCTAAGGACCATTTTGTAGTTATTGTAAGGTTGTTTTGATGATTTTTGGGAAGGGAAGGAGTTGGATATAAGAGAATATGAATTTGGTGTTTTCAAACCTTCAATCTCTTTGTACAATTTATTCAACTTCAATTTGAGATTAATACAAGTTTTAAGTTTTTTTTTTATTTTTAATGTTCGATTGATTCTTTGATTTTCTTATTTGTTATTAATAGAATTCTTTTACTTCAATTGACTACAAATGGCTTGGTGTCCTAACTTATCTAGAGTAAAATACGATTATCGATGTTGATTTGAAAACATATTAAACTGTTCTGCTTTTGAGCTCGGGGAGGAAGAAGGGACGATTTATAGGGAAATTCCGCCGCGTGAAATAATTGACGGAATTGCCCTGTGATGTAGGAGAGAGGGTAGGGGTAGTATCGGGAATGCGCACCGCAGCCGGCTTGCAGCGTGAATTTAGTATTGGACAAGTCGAATATTACATCAATGTCCAATGTCTTACCAAGACATCTCTATGAAAGTGTATATCATGTACTAAACAATAGCCGGCAGTATAAGCATTAGGAAATACCCGTACAAGGAAGGAGAGCCGCGAGCTCCCCAAAATGACATCACGAGTCATCTTAGGAAAAACCTCAAGGTCCTTCACGGCTACTAGCACCTAATGCAACACCAGCATAAACTTCTATAATGGCTTTTCTGTTGAAGGGGTGAAGCTGCCTGTATATTATGCTAGACAGTCTAGTCTTACCTTAACAACAGGGGTCCCGCGCAAAGAGAGTGGTGATAGCCAGGTGGACCAGGGAACTAATCATTCGAAGGTTCGTAGTTTAGTCGACCGAAGGCCTACACCTAAGTCGATCGAACCCCTGGCCCGAGGGACTTACACCAAATACCGCAGCCAATGAGTCAGGCTAAGTCACTGCTATACACTATATAAAG